TTCATTTTATTTTATTTTAACTTCTTTTTATCGTCAAATTGATTTAAAATTGTGATCTTTATTATTCTATAAATTAAGGCCTAAGCTTTACCAACTATCGTGTTGAATCAATCTCTTCAGAAATTTCTACTCTCTACAATTAGCTTATAGTAGTATAAGTATCCATATACTTGACTCTCTCTCTCTTTTTCATACTCTCTCTCTCTCACTCTCTCTCTCTCTCTCTCTCCTCCTCCCTTAGCTATGTATTCCCCACTCTTAACAGTTCAGGTGTCTAATGTATTTAGCCAGTCAGCCAATATAATTGCTGCTTGATTTATTGCCCTACTAATAGCTCATTCAATTTGAGCTCTATGCATATTTCCATTTAGTTCTGACTCGAAGCTCCTCAGCTGCAGCATGAATTCGCTAGACGCTCTCTTTGCTCGTTGTTTGCTGGGCATCTATTGGTGGATGGGCCTGCTGCCGTTGCCGCCTGTGTCTCAACTGTTGTGGCTGCTGCTCGCCTTGGTTATACGCCTCAGTTGGGTGTCCTACTTCATGTGGATGCTGTGGAACGGCATCTGTTATATGTTGGTGGACAGGAGCATGAGCGTCAGCTATCTGACCGGATCTGTTCTATTCATAGGCTACTCATTGCTGGGTCTGCTCGTCCAGGCCCAGACATTATTTAAGCAGCGATCGTATGTGCGCCTGGAGGATTATCGCATTCAGCTGGAGCTGCAGATGAGCAGGCTTAGCAGCTCGCACTACGGTCACAAGTCCGGGAGTTTGCTATTCCTACTGGGTACACATTTGGCCAGCGACATTATCAAGTCCTGGGCCAATTCCAAATACAGCATATCCCCGGTGCACACCGTCTCTCTGATGCAGAAATGGCAGCTGCGCTTCCACTTCATCCAACTGATGCGGCTGATCATGGAGCTGAATCAGCGCGCCATCCAGCTGCGCCACTCGCTACTGCGCCTGGCCGCCGGCAACGACCTCTGGCTGCCCTACAGCCTCTCCGACTTTAAGCACCTGCAGACGCTGCGCCTCAGCTACGAGCGCATTTACGAGTGCCACGAGCTCTTCAACGACTGCTACGGCTGGAGCATGCTCTGCCTGCAGCTGTTGTGCAGCTTTGAGTTCGTGGCCAATGCCTACTGGTTCATCACAGAGGCCTACGACTCCCAGCGCCTCTACATGTTCATCTACAATGGCAACACCTGCTTCACCATCGGCACCCTCGTCACAGCTCTCTTCTGGTACGGCGACGCAAGTGCCAATAATGTGAGTAGATGAAGTTGAGAGCAATGGTTCGATGAGAGACAGATTTAATGATAGATGAGAGAGATATAAAGAGATTATGGCTACTATAGGAATACAGTGGTATATCGAATACATTATGAGACCTCTTAGGTATTCTGAACTGAACTGAATCAGGGTATTATGTTTTTGTAAAAATGTATTTTATATACCACCCCTTTCCTTCTTCCTCAAACATTTTCAATAGACGTATTCCATATACTAGAGACTTCTGCTTCTGCAACTAAATACATATGAATATCATTATTACGCTCTGAAAGCTTAACAGATTCCGTCTGAGCTAAAAGTTATTCATAGTATGGCGCATACTGCAGCTCAAGCACATTCCAAACAGAGCTCAAGAGATAGCCTGAGCAGAGCCTGAGCAGAACCTGAGCCTAACAGAGCGTGAGCAGAGCCTAAGCAGAGCCTAAACAGAGCCTTAGCAGAGCCTAAACAGAGCCTTAGCAAAGCCTAAACAGAGCCTAAGCAACCTTAGAGTTGCCCTATCCCATATAAAGCAGAGCTCTAACATAGATGAAGCAGAGCTCAAGAGCAGCGCCATTATAAAGGTACTAAAGCGCAGTCAACTGCTCATGCTCATGAGTGAGTGTGTCTGTGTATGTGTTATAAGTGATACAATTGCTTAAAGTATGAGCTCTTCGCTCTTCGTTTCCGAGTCGAGCATTCTGGCCTAAGTACTCTTACCTGTGTCACTTAAACCTAATTTCACTTGCTAATTGCCATGATAAGGCTGAATTCAATCAGAGCTCAATCAGGTTCAATATTTATGACAGTGATGAATTGGTAGAGCGTCAAGGCTTGACTCAGCTCTCTCGGAATCGTCAGCCCAGCCACTCTCTAGTCCAGCTGCAGCCCTCGACTGCCTCGGTTATGTTGGGACGAGACGCTTTTCACCTGGTGCTGTGCTGCATGGGCGTGCGCTGCAATTCGCGGCTGCATCGCTTGCAGCTCTTGCCTTTCGGCTTGGGGCTCTGCTGGCTGATTGCGGTCTGGGCTGGAGTACCGCGCTACATCTCGACGATTCCCTACTGCAGTCTCGACTGTCTGATAATAATGACCATGTTCGTAATGCTGAGCTTAGCGCATGGCTTCGTCCTGCTGGACACCCTTCTGAAGCGTCGCACGCACCGGCAGCTGGAACTGCAGTTGGCCGTGAATCCGCTGACGGATCGAAAAATTCAAAGTGAGCTGCTTTGTGTCTTCTGCGTCTTCCTACTGGTGGCGCTGCACAGCCCAATCGTTTGGTTTCGGCTCAATACCAAGTGGGAGTGGTACACCCCCATCTTCTGGATAAGCGCACCGAGTGCCTGGGTGGTGCAGCTGAAGACGATTGCGTTTCTCTCGGAGGTTCTGTCGGCCAATGAACGGGTGCTAGGCATGCGACGCAGCCTGAAGCACCTGGCGGCACAAAGCACTCGCTCCAAGCAGCTCCCCAACGTGGAGCAGCTGGTGCGTCTCAAAGAGGAATACAGACAACTGCATCTGCTCTTTGTGCAGCTCAACGCAGCCTATGGCCTGAGTATGCTCGTCGTGTTCATAGTCCTCTTCTTTGACTTTGTGTTCAGCGCCTATTGGCTAGCCAAGACCACACTGATCCGGTCGCAGGGCGGAGTCCATCTGTTCCCTTCCCTGGGCTTCATGATCAACGTGGGCCTCTTGCTCTCAATCACCTGTTGGCACTGCCAACAAAGCTTTAATCACGTGAGGGCTGAGCCGATGTTTAAATACCAATCGTGCTTCATATGTTTATCTGAAATTTCTATTTTCGTTTCAGAGTCGGCAAATTGGCTGCTTGATTCCCAAGCTGGTGAAGCCAATGGGCAGCAAGCGCTACAACGATTTGGTCAGCGAATTCCTGCTGCAGACGCTGCATCAACGCTTTGTGGTGACGGCCAAGGACTTCTTCAGTCTCAATCTGCATCTGTTGAGCAGCGTAATTTCTGGATTTCATTTATTTTTAATGAATTAAAATGTTAAATCAATTTATTTTCTCGCTCTACAGATGTTTGGCGCCGTGGTTACCTATCTGGTCATACTCATTCAGTTTATGTTCGCCGAGAAGAGTGCACAAGCTGCGGCTAGGCCCAAGTAAAGCTGCTAAATGATCGACTAAAAGTTTCCACGTAATCTGAAATCGATGAACTTATGGCAAATCATTTTAGCTGCATTCGCTTTTTATCTCTCCGAATTCATTTGAGTTGCAAATTATTTTAACGTCCTCAGCGATTCCCAAACATTCTCATTAACTTCTGATCAACTAAAGAAATATAAACTAGCTAAATAAATTTATTTTATTAATACTTTACTCCTTAATACTTTCCTTCTTTATTAATGCTAGCATCTTGTATACAAAAATAAAATATTCGATAAATTAACATATAAATAAATAAATAATAAGAATTAAGTTTGAATACACAAAATAATTATTTTTACTAATGTTGAAGCCACACGATCTATTTTTTGTTTGTTTGTTTTTTTTTTTTTTTCTCTTCTTTTTTTTTTTTTTTTTTGTGTTTTAAATTATTAGATATGTACTTTAATTGCAAGCGCTTGTACTTGACAATAATAATATACAGAAAAAATAAATATTATAAAATAAAAAATAAATATTTTATGTGTACATAAAAAACTAGCAGTTAGTTTTAAATAGTATTTCGGAATATATTTGGTATATTTTTCAGCTTGAGAAGCGAGAAACCAGCAGCAATGTCAAAAAACTTTCAGACTTTTCAGATCAAATTATATCCTAACTCTATGCTAAGAATTATTTAAGACGCTCAACCACTTTACACCTTCCGCAAACTTACAGTAGACACTGTTGCTCAAAGCTGTTAGATAGAGCTGCTGCAGTTTAGCACATGTGCCGTAATTATTTATGCCGCCCACACGGAGTGTCACTCTGAGGCAGGCAAGCAAGCAGGCAGTGGGCGGGGCTGGGTCGATGCCGTCTTGGGTGCCCACATGGAAGTTAGACTACATCAAGTTTTAGTTATTCTTAAGCAGACAAAACTACTTCACGCATATTAAACTGGCATTTCACAGGCACAAAAAAACTTTTTCTAATATGCAAATTCATACCGAATCCTTGTGCAGGGCTATGGAAAGGATAAAGTAGCGCCAGCAGCAGCAGCAGCAGCACCAGCAGGAGCATACGGGGCAGCAGGGCTAGGGGCACACATCCTTGAATTAACACGTGCGGGTTCGCATTAATTTGTAAACTGCTCGAGGGACCTACGCCATGCTGGTTATATCACAGAGAAAGAGAGAGGGAGAGCGCGCGAGAGAGAGAGAGAAAAAGAGAGAGTAAGAGAAGCTGAGCTGGGAAATAGTTTTTGTCGTTAGCTATGCAAATGCCGAGACATGTAAATATTATTTACCACATGGCCAGATGCTCGAAATGTAACTGTGCCGCCACTTCTCATCTTAATTAACATAGAACAACTGAAACACTCCATTTATAAATATTTATAAGCTCCAGGGATTAGTGCACTAAACTATTTTTATATGCTGATCGTGATCAAAGCACTAAAATATAGCTAACAAGTAAGAAAGCTCTAGTCGAGACTGCTCGACTACGAGATCCCCTGAACCCTTGGAGCAATAGATATTTCAATAATTTTTCGCGTCTTTCAGCTTACACAAGAAACACGCACACACACACGCACACACAGGCATACATACACACACACGCATACAGACACACATACACACACACACACGCATACACACACAAACGCATACACACACACATACACACACACATACACAAACACATACACACACA